ATGAAAAACACGTCGGTCATATTCATTTGAGTACATGTTAGTTATTTTTTAGCAGCAAGAATTGTCGTCAATCCATTTACTTCGGCAAGACGATGTTGCATGCACAAAGGTTCGGAATTCAAGGCGTATGAATAGCGGAGTTTGCAGATATTCACGAAGATGAATGTGACTTTTTAAATCGTCAATTAATTTCTAAATGTCAAGTTGCATTTAGTGTTTGCGTCGAAATAAACGGCCAAGGTGTAATGATATACAGAGCCTTCATTGTTGGCAACATCTGAGAAGATTCTACATGAAACTTCTTTCTTGATCTTATGTACAATAAGTGAAGCCAAAATGTGTGTAATGACAATTTGCAAGTCATTGCTTGAACAATGGTATATAATGCTACCGTAAATGTACAACCCAACAATTGTGAGCTGAGCATCCATACACATACGTGGCAAACTTAAAGAATTCTGATGCTTATCCAATATCCTAGTTTGGGAATCCTACAACTTGGCTTGCATTCCTCCCAGATTCTTCACAGAAGCTGAGCTTACTTTGCTTCTCTGTCCTTTGAGGCTGGCTTGATTGTGCTTTGTCGGAGAGCACCACTTGTCGCCGTTCAAATCCTCTTGTTTGAGTTGCTGGTGGGACCTGTCCCGAGGCTCAAACTCACCGATTGGCCCATTTGTGCTGGTATCTTCCTTCGCTGTTCGAGTTGCGGCATCATACTTTGACGCATCGACTTGATATTTGGGGCCGATGAGAGGATGGGCTTGAGGAAAGTTTTTGCTCGAAGCAGTGCTGGACTTCTTCTTCACGTACGGACATAAGATGGGCTCGTTGCTAAGGGAAACTGATGTTTGGTGCGAACGTTGCTTTCTGTGATCTCGACATTGAAAGAAAAGCAGGTAGATGAACTCGATCAGCTCGACAAACACCGCCATTGTGAGACCGATGCTGAGCGAGCACAGGCCGCCTATTCGTGAGAGGAGCACATTGATGCTGAGCACGAGTTTCTCTTTGGAGACCTTCAGGTCACTTGACTTCCGCTTCAGCATGACATATGCGAAATTGTCGTCCCGTATCTCCCATTCTGTCTCAACCTAAAGCCAAAAAGGTATTACAAAAGAGTATATATTAAATTATGAATTATAAAACAGTAGAAGGATTGCTACCGTTTTACGTTTAAGTAGTTCCGATATTGACTTGGGTCAAATAGAATATTTTATTTTATTCTTTTAAGTTTGCCACATACCCTGCCTCATAAATGCAATAAACTTTTTCTGATTTCTTCTCAAAGAGCCGATTCAACCAGCAGGCGACTTTTAAGCTTATTATGTATTTTTTAAGACCTAATCTGAAATGCAAGCCACCTGAAGATCTTGCTGAAACTTATTGGGTGCTTGTGGTCAAACCTGACTACGGCGAGGCTAAACCAGGCAATGGAATAGCAAATATTAAGAGGAATCACTAAGATTCAAACTTGTTTATATACAGTCAGACATAATAAATATTTAATTCATCATTATCTGTCGTCTCAACATTTAATAAACTATTTGTGTCTGAATAAAATAA